GATATATCCGCCACACAGACGTGGACACCAAGCGCGGGTGTTGTTTCTCTGGTTTGTACTCCGACATCTCCTCTAAGAGGTATCCGCCCGCTCGGTGTGCAGCGGATATATCCGCCACACAAACACACACGTCGATCCTGGCCAATGATGTTTCGAGACAGAGTGTTTTCTCCACTACGTTCCCGCTCAGTTGCTGCGGCGGATATACCCGCTACACATGCGTGGACACCGAAGTCACAAAACGTTGGTTTCCATCCTGAGGATGACGGCCTCAATAGCGTATACATCCGACGCTGAGGATGAAGACCGTGCCTCCAACGGGCGCACAGGAGTTCGAGGTCATCGTCCATGCGGCGGATACATCCGCTCCACACCGAACACATCCGCCCCGTAGTCAACTATTGCCTGGGAAAGATCCGCCCTCACCCAACGACGGATACATCTGCCACACAGCGGAGGGCGCAGAGTGCCGGTTGCCAGCTGGAAACAACTTTCTCTGTGTGGCAGAAACAACACACAATGTTATGATGTTACGTGGTATTAGTTGCGCATGGGTGTGGTTCCTGTGTTATATACGCGGGTTCATACTGTTCGAGGTTTCCGTCCGTTTGCTGTATGGCGGATATATCCGGCGCGCAGACAAGGACGTCGAATGTCATGTTCGCCATCAAGTTTAACACCCGCGCTTGACATCCACGTCTGTGTGGCGGATATATCTGCCACCGAGTAACTGAGCATGTTGGTTCTCTGTTTTGTACTCCGACATCTCCTCCAGGAGGTCTCCGCCCGCTTGGTGTACATCGGATATATCCGCCACACAAAAACGTACGTTTCCGCTCAGTAGCTGCGACGGATATATCCGCCACACATGCGTGGACACCGAATCCGCGTAATTGACGACGACCTTGAAGAACTGAGCGCTTGTCAGGGCAGGGTCTTGATCTGCAGCGGCGGATGTATGCGCTAGAGTAGAAAGCATCACGACTTACCCAACCAAAATAGCACATGACATTTCGAGCTCTCCGTCCTCATTTGTGGTACGGATGTGTCTGCCTCATAGATCATGATCCTGAGCGGCGGATGTATCCGCTATCGAGGCCGTCGCTGAGGTTGTATCCGCTCTCGAGGCCGTCGAACGTGGTGCGGATGTATCCGCTATTTGAGAATGACGACCGTGCCCTTCACACGTGCACACCGCCGCTGGGGACCACGACCTTGCCCTAACCTGGTCCTCAGCGGCGGATGTATCCGCTATTGGAGGAAGCAGCACAACTTAGGCATTGCTCAAAATGAGTGTGCTAGTGTTGTGCGCTCAACAAGGGCAGAGTCCTCATCCTCAGCGGCGGATGTATCCGCTGCACGTCGAATACATCCTCAGCGGCGGATGTATTCGCTGTAGAAGCAGCACGACTTCGAGGTCGTAGTCCATGCAACGGATACATCCGGTGTTCAACTTTAGCATCGTAAAAGTTATGTGGCTACCTTCACACGCGCACGACAAGGGCAGAGTCCTCATTCTCAGCGGCGGATGAACACCGGATGTATCCGCTGCATGGACTACGACCTCATCCTCAGCGGCGGATGAACACCGGATGTATCCGCTGCATGGACTACGACCTCGAAGTCATGCTGCTTCTCCAACGGATACATCCACCGCTGAGGATGTGTTCGACAGGCCGCGGCGGATGTATCCGTTATCCTCAGCGGCGGATATATCCGTTGTAGAAGCAGCACGACTTCGAGGTCGTAGTCCATGCAGCGGATACATCCGGTGTTCATCCGCCGCTGAGGATCAGGTCATAGTCCATGCACCGGATACATCCGGTGTTCTTCCACCGCTGAGGATGAGGACTCTGCCCTTGTCGTGCGCGTGTGAAGGTAGCCACATGACTTTTACGATACTAAAGTTGAACACCGGATGTATCCGCTGCATGGACTATCTTCGACAGCGGATATATCCGCCTTTGATGATGATGACCATGCCCTTCACACGTTGAGGACGAATCAGCGTCGTTCTGCTTACTATCATGCTCAATAGCGTGTTCTTCTTCGTGCTCGGCAAATGCAGATAAAATGGCATCCGCAGGTGCTGGCAAACGAGCTGACTCTGCAGGAACGGCTGTCGAGGGAGAGTTGCCCGAGTACAGTGGAAATCGTGGTGGGCCTGCCTCGACTTCTATCGGTGGTCCAGTAGCGGAGCGCGGTCGGCGCGGTTCTTCTGGTGGCAGGTACAACGGCGGAACGAGGAGAAATCCTTTGTACTACAAGTATGACAACCGCCACTGGTTTCTTGATTGGGTTTCTGCTGACGAGTCGGCGCTGACGAGTCCACCTTGCGGTGTAGTCGTCTTCGTGAAAGACCGTAATAATTTTCGAGTTGTCGGGGCTGTGAGCGGATGGGAAGATTGTTCAGAGGGAATTTGTACATTCACCCTTCAGACGGCGTACGGGAAGAACGCTCATCCTGATCATGACTCCCAGGGTGTCAGATTGGCTTGGAAAAAGTTCCGAGGTTTCGGCAAGCAAGCCACCATGCTTCCGTTTTACACGGCAATAATATCAGATTTAGAACTGTCTGTTCTCTTGCGGAGCTTCTTTGATGACTGGGAGAGATTGGTGTCGCCAACCAGGTGTTTAGATGTGCCGCAGGAACATCGTATTTCGATGCCGATAGCGTATGTTGGCGATGACGAGGATCGCACTCGAACTTCAGAATTGTCGACTGATGTTGCTACGGAGGGTGCGACTGGAGGGCTTGACCCTAACTACGTTCCTGAGCAGCAAGACCCCTCAGGTGCTTATGAAGAATCCGAGCCGGAAGGTGAAGCTGTCGAACGCAGACATGCGGAGGGGGCGGTCGCCGAGGTGGCTCGGGCTCCAGTAAGTGCTATAAATGAGCCGTCGCCCAGGAGGGGGCGGTCGCCGACATGGCTGAGGCTCCAGTAAGTGCTACGGATGAGCCGTCGACTAGGGCGAAGACGACTGGAGTTAGTACTACTGTTGGACATCCTGAGGTTGCGGAGCAGCAAAGGGGTGGGGAGACGGGTAAAAGACCTGTTGCGGTGGGAGAAAAGAGAAGTGGGGAAGAATCTGGCAGCGAGGGGGCCAGAGACGAAGACACCCCTCGTTTATCTTCACAGAAGAAAAGGAGAACAAGTACCCCTCGCCAGACATCTGACAAGAAGAGGAAATCGGCGGGAAAGAACCCGGAAACACCGAAGGCGAGACGGGGAGGTGGATCGGGGGAAGGGTCATCAAAAGGCAAGCGGGCACGAGCAGATGAAAATGACAGTGAGGACGACAAGGAAAAGGTTGTCGATCTGGACGCCGGGTACTTTCTGGAATGGAAAGAGGGTATAAAGAAAGATGTCACTCTTTCTATCAACCCGGAGAGGGTATTGGAGTTGTCAGCGTGGGAAAGGCTGTACAATCATCGTTCGATCGACCGAACGCACACGGCATATATATTGCGGTGTATGATGGATGCCTTCAAGAAGAAAGGAAAGACGTACGAGAAGCCAATTTTGAAATTGGCGCCAATCGCAGGGCTTCCTWGCCCYGGACGRAAGRCTGTTCGTMTGACCCCRGACAAATTCAATGTGGAGAACCCGAACGAACACTGGTACTACGCTGTCAGCGGGCAACACAATGTCAAGGCTGCGCTGGAGTTGAGAAACCACGAGATTTGGGGGAAGCATACCTTCTACGACTGGCCCTTCAAACCTTTGTACTTCGCCGACGAGGACTTTGACGGTTATACGCAGATAAGCGTGAACGAGAATAGGAAGGACAAGTTAGCCCCTCCTCGGGCTCAGCGGCTGTCAATGATAGACATTCATCAGGAGTGGAATAACTTGAAGCGTCCTCGTGCTGTCACCGACAATATAACGTTCAAGAAGGATTTGGTCAGTAAATAAGAAGAGTTTCAGAAAGCCGCCTTGAGGAAAACGCCTTACTTCAACCTTTGGGGGTTGGGTGATGAGAAATCGAAGAAATAGGAATGGACGGAGAGACTGAGGTACTACTTACCTCTGGTGATGACGGACGATGGAACGTGGATGCTTGGCATGAAATTTTATGACGAGTGGACGAAGGGTCATCTGCTCGCCCCTGATGGCGCTGTGTGGACGAAGAGGCCTCCAACAACGGACCCGAAAGTCACCCGTGAGGGTCAGTCATTTGCGGAGGACAACAGGGGCCATAAGAGAGTTGTGTATAATATGCGTGTGGCTGATCCGGAGATGAGGAAAGGCAAGAAGAAAAGGAAACAGGAGGACGGCGACTTTTTCGTCCAGGTGAATGAACCCGACGTGCATTGTTGGAAAGACTCGGGGGATTTTACAAACGCGGAGAAACGTCGGATCCTGCGAGGGTTGCTGGACCTGGATATTATCTGGGTGCAGCAAGGAAGCAAGAAGCTGATTGAGCAGGGAAAGGTTGGGATGAAAGATGCTTGTGAAATGGTCAAGCAAGATCGGATACTGCTCCGGCTGTGGCATACTGTGCAATTCCAGCACGAGCGCCGCGACAACGATGATTGGAGTGCCTCCTTTTTCCAGACGAAGGAGCAATTGATGGCAGAGTACGCCTCCAAGAGACTGGATAAGAAATTGTGGGCGGGCTGTAGGAAATGGGTCACAGATCACTCGTACCTCAAGGAATGCCCCCAGTATCTCGGCTGTCCGAGTGATAAGGATGTGGCGGCAACGATGAAGTTGGTTAATCACGAGAACTTTTCTACTGAATGGAAGCGGGTTGTGTTGTCCGTGCTCAAAGGCGAACGTGGCAAGACAGAAGAGGGGCCGCAAGCACTGGGAGAATGCACCACCATCAAATGGAAGGAAACCAAGCAAGTGACAACCCTCRCACCATTTGCTTACGACGCCTTCAYGRCTTTTCTAAGAAAAGATGAGATGAGGAAAGTTGTGAYGCAGCTGCGATGCCACACTTGCATCATTGACTTCTGCGATCCCGTCGACCGAGCACGTTGGAATGACGAGGCTTTCCGATCATTGGCGGCATTCCTTGAAGCTGTGTGTCCTGATTTCGGAACTTTAATTTCTTTTGTTCCCAGGCAGTGGGACCTTTTCTTCATGGGTCTTCTCCACATTCTTCCTGTCACGGATGGTTGTGTAGGAAAATGAGTTCGGAGGAGTCAAGTTAAGAAGCACTACCAAATTGGGAACAGTGTGTGGGCCGACGAGGACAGGATGTATGTTCTTTTCCACGGGGATGATCTGAAGCTTAACACCTCGCCGACATATGAGGGACGATTGTCGGACGATGACGCTGCAGCTCTTGGGAAAAGGCAAAAGGTGACACCCTCGGACATTGCCGAAACACAGTTCACGGCCACGACGTATGCATCGGCAGGTGTGCACCACCTAAAGGGGTTCGTCTATAAGGAAATGGAGCGCAACCCGGGTATATTATCGGGTCACATAGAGTTCTTCTGCCCAGTCGAGAATGCATTTATGTTCATCGGCAAAGCACACGCCCAGGTTGTGTGGCATCTCCTCAAGAGCGGGCGCCATATTGTGGCCATCGAGTGAGACACAGAGCTCCTCAACTTCTTGATGACATTTGTTGCGCACGAGGTGCACACGGGTGTGGACAACTGTGAATTGTACCAGGTACAGAAAGAGGTCGACCATGATCCACACAGGAACATGTGGTTCAAGTTGTCAGTTGAGAAAAGGGCGAATGTATACAAGTTTTTGTTCCTCGACACAAGACCGAAAGTAAGATTCGAGGACGACTATAAGTGTCGCCGAGATGTCGTGATTGGTGCATTGGATGACTTTCATGGTGCTTCTAGGGAGGCTGCGGCCAACTTCGTGGAGAAACTTGAGTAATGCTATTTCGACAATGGCAAGGTGGAACTCACACTAAATTATTACAAGGCTCAGTTCACCGAAGAGGACAATTTCAACGCAAACGACGAGGAAGAAGTCAGCGAGGGTGAGGAGCCTTTGGATTTAGAGACGGTATATCAGAAATATACTGTAGGTATGGCGTCCTCTTCAACGCCTTCCAGTTCCAAGCATGCTGCGAGTTTGCCTGTCGTCACTCCTGTCGCCATTCCTGTCGCAACGCCAACCTCGGGTTCTTCAAGAGGATTTCTTTCCTCCATGAGAAGCAAACCTCTGAGCCCCACTATCAAGCTTGGACGTCCTCTTCCGCCGACGCACACATTTAGGTTGCAGAAAGGTCAACTCTATTTCTTGGGGACGACGCACAGAAGTACCGACGAGTCCGATTGGGGTCAGCATGTAATTTGGCATCCAGACATTTTCCAACCGGCAGTTCTTGATGGCGAATGGGTTATGGCGTTCAAAAAGGTATTTGAAGAGGCCGCCCTCCAAGCGGTTACCGACCATGTCGCAGAGGTAAACTGTCGTCAACCAGACGACCTTGTCGTCACAATGTTCGGAGAGCAGACATTCGAGATTCTTCAGGAGCACAACATGTTGGAGCTCTGTCGTGACTTTCATTACCTCGAAACAAGTCCAAGTTATGAAAGCAAAATTGATTGGCATATTCTGCCGCCTGCCCCAACACGAGGAGAGGGAGCTGGACGGGGCGGCCGTGGAGGAGATGACGAAGGAGGGGACGGAGGAGGTGAGGATAGAACCCGCGGCCGCGGTTACGGTGTACCCGTGGCGGCGGTTACGGGTGACAACAAAGGGGGCGGCGCACGACGCGGAAATGTTATGAGCCCGGGAGGGGTCACGATCGCAGGTAGAAAGGGTTCTATGGCTTCGGTACAAGGTGCGAGCTCACAAACTGGGCAGGGATCACCGCAGGTTGAATCTCCACTGCCGACCCATGCGCTGCAAGCTGCTTCACTCGTTGGGCAAGTACATGGCTCATTTCCCGGCAGCGGATGTATCCGCGGCACAGTCACGATCGATGGCGGAATAGGTGTCATGGCTTCAGAAGTAGGTGCGAGCTCACAAACTGGGCAGGGATCACCGCAGGTTGAATCTCCACCGCCGACAATGTATCCGCTCGGTGCTGAAGTCGTTGGGCAAGGAAATCGCTCATTTCCCGACAGCGGACGTATCCGCGGTACAGTTTCTGCTGGATCGAATTTCATGGCAGATGCCGAGTCGGTCCACGTGGCTTCCACCAAGGATCCTGAACGCGACACTCGGAAGTGCGAAGTTGTTACGGATGCCACTTTCCTTCGCGGAGAGAATGTGGTGGAGAAAACTGTAGGCGGGTGATACTCCCCCAGAAGGACAGATTCTCTTGCGAGTCCTTGTGCAACTTGGTCTGAGGTGGATAAGGGGCGGGTTGGCCTTTTTTCTGCCGGCCCCGGATGTATCCGCCATCCAAGAGGGCGCGTCAGTGTGGAGCAGAATGAGGACTTAGCTCTCGGAAGCATTTCGGCCGGTGGCGGATATATCCGCTCCTCGACGCATCAACTCAGCAGCACCGACGACACCCTTGCCCTGGGTATGGAAGACCAGGAGACTGCACCCTTTGACACACATTACGGTGGTTCCGAGGGTGGGCATGTCCCTCTGACAAATGCACTGGAGGAACATGCACGCGGGTCATACAAGGGGTGCGGCATGAGTGTTTGGGTCCCACTACTGTATGAGCATCTGGAGTTTACTTTTCGATGTAGCGAGCGGCGATATGTTTGGATATGTGGGTAATTGCTGGTTGCCCATTGGTTGTGCAATGTGGCGATATGTTATATTCATAATCTCCTTTTCTTTACTTGTTGTACAGGTCGGCCATCTCCTTCATGTGCCGTGCGGAGAAACTCGGAAGAGTCTCTCACAAAGACGAATATGTCGCGATTGTCGATAAGGGATTTTCAGATTGTAGAAGCGGCAGGTATGAGTTCTGACACATTTGCGAAGTTGCACATCAAAGTTTGCAAGAAATGCGCCATTTCTTCGCTTCCTGGACCCGCGCCATACTTTTCTAGGAGTACAAGTAGAGGGGTTCAAATTTACAATAATTTTAAAGCGCAAAGCAAAGAACCGAACGACTCGGACAGTTAGGGTGTCATCCTTCTCATGCTCATGCGTGTTGCTTGGTTGGACTGTGCAGCAGACGTATGCATGTCAGGCGTTGGAGGAAATCAGGAAGAGTCGTCCAAGTTGATGGACAAACTTGTTCGGTGTTGCCTACCGTCGGTGATGGTTATTGCTCGGCTCCGAACCGACAATTTGGTGGTTAGGGTAAAAGACATGGTGACATTATTGGATAGAGGCGGCGAGCTTAACGACGAGGTCGTGAATTTTTACTTATCTCTCCTCACCAGGGACTGTCGTCGATCTTCGTTCAAAGTGTATAACTTCCTTTCCTTTTTCTTTACGAAGTTGCAGTCGCAAGGTTTTAGAGGGGTCAACAGGTGAACGCAAAATGTCCTTCTTTTCGAATACGATATATTGCTCATCCCCATTCACAAGGATTGCGAACACTGGGTCCTTCTTTCAGTAGATTTCAGAAAGCACGTTGTAAACTTTGTCGATTCGTTTTATAACTCGATTTGTGACGCGTCATTCGCTTTGAGTGCATTTAAGGCGGTTGTAGACTATCTGAATAAAGAGGCAACCTTGCGAGGGCTGCCCAAAAGGTACAATAACATGAGATTTGAAGTGCTCGTTAAGGGAGTGCCTAGGCAGGTTGATGGCTTGAGTTGTGGGGTGTTCATGTTGATGTTCTCTTCCTTTCTTGCGCGGGTTTGCGCCCACCTTTCCGCTTTTCGAATTTTGACATTCCAGCAATCAGATGCAAAACGGCATTGATCATATGTTCTGTAGGACAAGTTTGAGTATGTGTTGTGAGTTCTCCGGGTCGGGATTGTGCAGCGGATGTATCCGGCCTATAGGATCATAAATCCCTTGTGCTATTTGAGAATTCCTTCAAAAGTAGCCTTAAAAGTTTACGACAAGTTTGAGTACGTGTGGCCAGTTCTCCAGGTTGGGATTGTGTAGCGGATGTATCCGGCCTATAGGATCAGAGACAAGTTTGAGTACGTGTGGTCACTTCTCCAGGTTGGGATTGTGTAGCGGATGTATCCGGCCTATAGGATCAGAAATCCCTTGTGCTATTTGAGAATTCTTGTATATTGCTCTTCTTCAGATATTAGGTGTCACTTTATTTGCGAGGTTGATGGRTCGCTTTGTGGGATATTCATGTTGATGTTCGCTTCCTTTCTCGCACGGGTATTCCGCCCGCCTTTTCGCTTTTCGGATTTTGACATTCCAGCAATCAGATTTGTTTCCAGTTGAGGTGTCAATCATTGCAGATGTGTATGGGGACATTTGTATGTGCTTCTTGAGTTCTGCATTACTCGAACACATCTCTCTGTCCTGTTCTCATTTTGAAAGAATATGTAGCGGATGTATCCGCCACAGGCGAGTATATATACTAGACATATGTAGCGGATGTACCCGCCACAGGCTCGGACATCTCATTTCGAAAGAATATGTAGCGGATTTATCCGCCACAGGCGAGAATATGTACTGGATGTATGCGCCACAGACAATAATATGTAGCGGATATATCTGCCACAGGGAAAAAAGTCTAACGAATGTCTCTCTCTCTCTCTCTCTCTCTCTCTCTCTCTCTCTCTCTCTCTCTCTGGGACATTTGTATGTGGTGGTGTCTGGCATTGCAGATGTGTATGGGGACATTTGTATGTGGTT